GGAATGCCGTATTTTAAAATTTGAATTCAGCAAAGGGTAAAACCGGAAATCCGCTTCCCATCCCTCCCCGAGCGTTTAAAAAGTTTAAAGCACATGAAGCTTTTGAAAAAGACAGGGCCCGAAGCGAAATCCAACGAGAGAGACGAAATCGGATTCGGGGATTTTGCATTGCAGAATTTGCCACGAAGAAGAAGAAGAAGAAGAAGAAGCGGAAAGCTCCTCGCGCTTGCTCTGGAGTTTTTCTTCGTTTGGGTCGTTTCAGTTCGCGACGAGAGAGGAAATACGACTTGTGAAATCCGTATTCAGGTTTGACTCTCACCATCATCGATGAAATGAACAATTTGCCTTTCCATGGATTTGGTTTTAACCCTTGATCCCCAACGTAGATTCGATCTTATAATCAGTGAGTCCATGTCCTGTTTCTAGATTTCAAACAAAATTGCAAATATTGTAAAAAAAGGGTGTCGCCAGTGATCAGTTGCAAGGATGCGGTGTGAGAGAGACGGTCTCAGCGTTGCGATCGTACTCGACGAAGAAATCGGTCTGACCGATGTTCCCGTATATCGCCAAATTCGCCGGAGATCCGATGAAGGAGAAACACAGCGTCCTCCTCACGATTGTCGGGAATGAGTTAACCGGCTTCAATCTCAAGTCAGCCCCTTTGAAATGCATCTCTATCACCGGCACCACCATCTTATTTCCCGGCTCCCTGTTTAGAAATTAGGAAGCAAACAAAAAAAAAATCCATATTGACATATTTCTTACCATAAAATAAAACAACAGAAAAAGACAAGATGATGGCTAACGCTTTGTAGCAGAGGCTGAAACCGGTCTTCTCCTTCCCTACCTTCTCCAAAGTCATAACCTGCTCATATGTGTGTCAGAAAATCACTCGACACCTTTCCAACTATATATATATATATATTTATATTTATATATATTGATATTGATAATTTGAAATTTCATCGGACTTTGAACTCAATTACAATTACATTTCGCAGAGGATCTTCCCTTACCAATTGATCAATTGAGTTACCTGAATCTTAAATATTTCCAACTATATTTATATAAATAAATATATAAGAATTACCTTCTCAACCTCGGCCCTCACTCGGTTATAGAAATCCATGGGAAGAAACGTCATTGTGGTTCCTGTGTCTATGATCATATTGCCCTCATTGGCGCCACCGTACGCCGAGCCCGGAAACTCCAACCTCTTTCCGCCCACGCTGATCGCTTCCAGCGTCAAGTGATAATGGCCGGAATTGGGTTTCTTGGTGAAAGGAGTTGTGATCCCATAGAGAGCCGGACTTGGAACTACGCCGAAATTGATAGAGTTCCGCCTGTTCGAAAAGATCGGTGCCAAACAGTAAGAGAAAACGCCATTGATGGCAGCGCCCAGCTGAGAAACGAGAGAGGCTTCCCCCAAGTCGAGACCGATGACCCCTGAGGCTCCTGGGGCATGGATGTAGTTCTCGTAGCCGCAACCGAATACCAACGAAAGCATCCTGCTCGCACCGATCGTTATGGATTCGGTCGCTATGTTTCCTTTCGTGTAGGATCCGTCGACGAACCCTTGACTGTACACGCAAGTGCCGCCCTCTCCACAAGACGTGATGGGGAGATCACTGCATTGGGTCCATGAACACTTGACGTTTCTGAAAGTGAGCGAAGCTCTTGGATCGAAAAGAGGGTTTGACTGCTCGAAGCACTTTGTGCATGGCTTGCATTCCGTCCATATAAGCGAGCTTCCAGTATCAGCAAACCCTAAAACCTCCACCGGAGGAGTTCCGATTCCCATCTTCATTATATACTCCCCCATTCCATCCTCTAAGTCCGTAGACATGGACGACGTCAAGCGTTCTTTGCGGCTGAAACGGAGTGAACGGGTCAATGAACGGTTCACCGCAGCCGCAAATCGTTCGATCGGGGTTAGGTTTGGGTTGTAGAACGGTGACTTTGACGAGTCACGGTGGATTAACTCGACCGTAAAACTGTCTTTTGTGTTTTCTGCATGGGAAATGACAAGCATGCACGTCGTTAACGGCAACGCAAGAAGAAGAAGAGACAACAACGATGCCGAGGAGTACATATTCTTGATCATGGCGGCGATTTCTTCTACTACGTGAACACATCCTTACTTATATATACATGTAAACCTTTTACACTTAAAATATTTTTCTTATATATATATATATATATATATATATTCCTAATTGTATATCAGTCATATTGTATATATTCCTAATCCAATGTCATTCTAATTGTATATCAGTCAACATTATTTGCAAAAAAACATCGTAAATATATATTTGGAGATACAATCATATGTGTTTTTGGAAATATTCCTAATTGTTTTTTATTTAAATTAGAAATATATGAAGTTTAGGAATATATGGAAACGTTTAAAGATATGGACAAACGTATTTACAAAACTAATTAATATACATGTATTTTTATATACAATTAAGAATATATTCATTTTTTTTCGTATGAAAATGCGTTGATTACAAACTAATCTGGGCCTGGGCCGGACACGCGGCACTCAGTCAGAATTCCTTTGGTGATGGAATCGCACTCATCATAAAAATCTGAATACTGAAAATTCCACGTCATCATGAACAGGAGCCGTACCAATTACTTGCTATTCTTCTTGCATGGAAATGTTCCAACAATGAAAATTCCGAGAGATACGTTAAATGTTTAAATGATTGAACACAAGCGGCAGTTTTCAATAATTGAATAGCAGTCCAGTCGTCGTCTAATGCCACAGCTTCATGCAGAATCCAGAGGGTACGACCGCGGACGCACCGCCAAACGCAGAACGCTTGCTCGAAACGCAGTCTGAAAACGTGTCCACCAGCTGCTCTGCCAACGCAGAAGGATCATCCACGAATGTATCGATGAAAATCTTCACGACCCTAATCTCCTGAGGCCTCGCCCTCAAACTGTACCACGTCAGGAACTTCCGTCTGAAACTCTTCTCGATGTGTCCTGAGCATTCGAGCTGTCTCATGATCTTCACACAGTGCTCGAAACTGCTGTCTGAACCGCAGTTCGCCGAATGCTCGCCATTGGTCACATCCCCTTTCTGCTTGGATGTGCTCGCGTTTTCAACGCTTGTTTTAGATTTTCCGGTTCTTCCCTGGCGATTCTTGATCTGGTCTGATCTGAATGGAGTGATGGGCAAACTGGTTTCTGACGTGTTTCGGTTGCTGACGAGATCTCTCGAGACAGGAACAGGAGTGTCTGGAACAACTTCCTTCAGCTCCAACTGTTCTTCCGAGGAGTTGTTCCTCTCAATCTGTGTAATGTCAGAATCGGGTTCCAAGCTCGGCCTTTTCACAGTGTTATTATCCTCAGTGGAAGGAGAATCCTCCCCATGGTTTGATAAATTCAGTGGAACAATGCTCTTGTCCTCGGGTTTCTTCCGGTAAGAGATGTAATCATTGTTAGATTCGGCTTCCACAGAAGAGGGAGTAGACAAACTGCTGCAGTTTGTTAACGGGCTTTCGCTTCTTTCAACAACAGATGAGCAGTTCACAGCTTCTTCTTCAGAAGTTGGAGTAGAGACGTTGATTTCATCGGTGTTCAACTCTCGGGTGCCGCTAAAGCATACAACTTTGAAACAATACTCCGAGGATGGAGCCAATCCCGAGACCACAAATCTCGTGTTTGGTGTAAATAGCGTGCAAGTTGACTTTGTCGGGTACTCCTTTTCCATGACCTTCCGATGCCATATACTGTAATGAACAATGTTGGCTGGTGAGGAAGAAGATTCGCTTGCACCAAGAACAACCGTGAGTGCCGTTGCATGAACTTCCTCAAATCTAATCTTGGTTGATCCTGTGATTGCTGTATCTGCATATACATACCGGAAGATTAGAATGTAAATCCCTAAATTTCAGACATTGATGGAGGGACCATTACTGGTTAGAGAAACAACACTGGAATGTAATATGTATCACCAAATTCAGACATTGATGGGGGTGTTAGATTTGATAGTTTATGGCTACCTTGTGTCTTGGAGCCCTGTGATGGATGTAATCCAACATCTGACGGTATCTTTTCGATAAATTCTAGGGCGGAAGAGCATAGTTTCTGCACCTCCGGTCCCGAATGGAGTCTGTTGACAATTCCCCTGCCAATCTTCATCGGATGTCCAGTCAAAGTACCCACTTCATCTTCAAGATTCTTCACTGCTTTCTCCACAATCTCAGATAGCTTTTGGTACTTCTTCGTGCCCTTTAGAAGCTTCTGTCCCAAGAAAAGACGGTAACAAAGTACGTCTACCCTTCTCGTTTCCTTTGCGATAATCAACTGCTTTTTCCAACATCTGGAAAGAGAAACAATAGAGCCTGAGATCCTAGATTGTATGTTTAGTGTCCTTTCAGTGAGTAACGGGAAAAAGATGATTTACTCAAGCAAGCCGTTTGTTTTCCCGCAAGAAACACAGTAGAAGCATCCATCAAGAGCAGCCTTTCGCTTATCTTTCCCGAGACCAGACTTATCATTCTTGAAAGCGCACTCAAGATGGCACGACAAGCCACAAGAATCATCAGAGAACGGAGGGTCTGAACTGCAGGTCAACCAGAGACTAGGATCTTTGTTGTCATCGTACTTATGGCAGATGCAACATGAACACCTTCTGCAAAATTTATCTTCCTGCCTCAACACAGCCCGACAAGCGGAGTTTTTGCAGTACACAGCATTCTCACCTGACGATTTCTATTGCCGGGTTAGTACGCTATAAAAGAGAGAGGCCATCGCTGGAAATCGCTGGGAGCATCAGCAAAGAAATCACGTTACCTGCAGTATGAAGGGAACTACAAGTCACCGATACATTGCTCGTTGAAACGATAACACGAGAAGGGTTATCAGCCTTCCTCTGACGCTTGGAGTTTATCTGGCCCGGTGAAGAATCTGTCTCTCGTTCATCGTCTCCGGAATTTTTCTCAGATACAATTTTCAAAAGGGTCTCGATGATCTTCACTTTAGTCAGGCCTGTGTATTTTCTCTCCTTTCCCATCTCTGCACACAAGATCTGTAGAATTTCCTGGCGGCTCCATGTCTGCAACACTTCAGAAGCTAGACGTGGCTGTTTAGACAGTTCGTAAACAAGCTGTCTCCTTTCATCAATGCTCATTTTGCCGCATTTCGACGGATCAGCTCCAGCTCCTGAAGTAAGAAACCAATTTTGATCGGAACTCACACAAAGGAAAACGATGACACACAACGCAGATTATCAGAAGAATTTGCATCCATTCGCATAAAACAACTATAGATATGGTTTGATTGGATCAAAATAAATGCGACGACGAACTAATGACATAACTTGTAACAAAACACAGAGTTCTACGAGTGATTCAAAACTTAGATTGGATCAAAACAGGCGATGGGTACGAGATATCAGACAACAAGATGAAGCAACAAACAGTTGAAAGTGAAGAAAGATGGAAAAGAAAAAGAATCTGCCGTAAAGAACTAGGTCTAGTAAAAGAGACGATCTAGATTCTCTTTAGATCCCCCATGTTCATCAAGAAGATACAACAACATCTCGTGGAAATCTAGCCCAGACACAAAGAAAGTCGTGTCCTTTATCATCCAAAGGCAACTCATCAACCAATGAACTTTGGGCTGAGTGATGGTGGTGGGAGACACAATATTTCCACAGAAAAATAAAAACCCACCATCAAAATCACCAATCTAAACGAAAAGGAAAAGGAGAGAGATGTTTGAAGGGAAGAAAAAAAATAAGAACACAGTAATCTGGATCAGCATCAAGATTAGGAAAAGCATACCCTTCACGGGAAAGATACAGTCTCGTTATTTCAACTAATTGAAAAATCAACAGAAAAGTCTAACAATCCAAATCAGCATCCAATGTCTGAATATCGGGAAAAAAAACAAACATATCTTGGGATAAAGCAATGAAATTTGACCATTATACAGAAACCCAGAAAACGAAACACGAGTTTCGATGAATCTTAAGCAACAACTTCTTCCAAGAACCATGAATCCCAGAAATATATATATATATAGAGAGAGAGAGAGTCATTAACAAGAATATTATACCCTCGAGAGAAGAATCCATTTGAAAGAACTATAAACCCAATCAAACCCACATTACCATCACAGCCACCAGAATCTTCAAACACTGCGACAGAGAAGACAGAAAAACTTGAGAAGAAGAGATGAAATCTTCAGGGAACGAAATAGAACAGCGAAAAAAAATATTGGACCGAAAGCGATCGTCAAAAAAGAATATGAAAACGTATACCCAACAAGGGAATCTAAGAAATTCTTCCACCAACGAGAGAATCCCACGGTTCTCTCTCTTGACAGAGAGATTCCGGGGAATAGAGTGACCGGAGAACAGAGAGAGAGCGAGAGAGTGAGAGAGAGATGGAGAGAGAGAGAGAGAGAGAGGGGGGGGGGGGGAATTAGAGATGGCCTATGGAGATGAGGAAGACGCAATTTATGGTGGGACCAAAGGGTAAATGGCATGCATTTTTTTTTCTTTTTTTTTTTTAACCTAAGTCCACGTCGTTTCCTCTTCGATTTACGGTTTTTAAACTTTTTTCCATATAAATAGAATTTGTCCATATGTTTGTATATATTACATATTCCATACAGAAAAAAAAAGACTTCTCTTATGGATCAATCATGGCAAATAAACAATAGTCTATCAATATTTTCTTGGAATAACTGATAAGTGACCAATTGATTGTATAAATTAATCATTTATTATGCTACGATTGGTCGGGACCATTGTCTACAATCGTATAGTTTTTTTATATTGTGATTGTCCAAGTGAGATTCGAACCTGGAGCATTTTGTGCTTCCACGCCACCAGACCACAGCAATCGCATAGTTGGCTTTGGCCTTTGGAGCGGAGAAAATAATATGCTTAACAACCTACAAATATAAATTCTAATAAATAATATAAAAATATTTGTTATCGGTGAAATTATTTTTTGTCTTTATGATAAATAAATAAATAACGCAAGTTGGGTTTTTTTTTCGAGCGCATCATAACTTTTGTTTACATATGTATTATACAATGCATCCATTATTCTTTTCTCTTTAATTGTCATCCATTTACTAGAAAGAATATCGGATGTTTGATTTGTGTGAATGTGGAATTACTAAAATTGAGATATTATTATATCAAATAATGCCGTAATACACATACATACAAAACATACATGCAAACACACATACGTACACGCGTACATGAGTACATGCATACGTACATACATTCATATATACATGCATGCATACACTCATGTATACATGGTAAACAAAAATATATTGATAACATGATGCTTGAACCATCCCTAAATAGATTACCAATAAAACACGACTAAGTATATACTCGAAGTCTGAAATCACATAGTTGGAACAAAGTTTTCGGATTGAAATTGATTTGCCCAAAAAATAAAATTCTTTGCATTGCCTATGATGTTATATACCACATTTTGGATTTATTGATAATTGCATAATGGTAAAATAAAATAATATAAAGTTAGATAAGAGCTATCTGTCGCTATTGTATTAAATTATATGTTATATAAAAATTTATTATCTTTAGTTAACATATATAAACATGATAATTAAACTATTTTGGAAACTAAAGTTTTTTTTGTTCTAATTTTTTTCTAAAAATACTAATAAGGTTTTGTCATTTCCACTATACGATCACACGTCGCTGTACAGATTTTGACAATACAATAAAATCTAAATCGATCCTTACAATATATGTATATTTATATGTTATAAATATATGCAGATGTAATGAATGCATGGTCCGAGTATTTCGTGAAAAAAAATAGGGAAATTTCCAAAAAAATCATCGAATTATGAGATAACTATCACATTCATCATGAACTTTTAAAATTTTCAAATTCATACTGAATTTGAATTTTTTTTCTAAAAATTCATTCGAAATTTAAATTTTAACAAAATCCTCATCGGAACAGAATTAATTTTGTCACATAGGCAGAAAGCGCCTACATGACGTCTACGTGGCATGTACGTGTTCGCCACGTAGGATACACGTGGCATTAATAATAAAAAATTAAAACAAAATTGGAAAAAATGTAAAAAAATTATAAAAAATGTGGAAAAAATTACAAAAAAAATGTAAAAATTGTAAAAAATATAAAATTGTAAAACATTTTCAAAAAATGTAAAAATTATAAAAATTGTAAAAAAAATGCAAAAAAAATTATAAAAATTGTAAAAATTGTAAAAATTGTAAAAAAAAAAATGTAAAATTGTAAAAAAAATGTAAAATTGTAATAAAATGTAAAACATTTTCAAAAAATGTAAAACAAATTGTAAAAAATTATAAAATTTTAATTTATTTTTAAAAAAAAGAGAAATTTCCAAAAAAAAATCATCCAGTTACGAGATAACTATCAAATTCATCACGAACTTTACAATTTTATACTTTTTACAATTTTTACAATTTTTTACAATTTTTTACATTTTTTGAAAATGTTTTGCAATTTTACATTTTTTACAATTTTTATAATTTTTTGCAATTTTTTTACAATTTTTATAATTTTTACATTTTTTTATAATTTTTTCATATTTTTTATAATTTTTTTACATTTTTTTCAATTTTTTATTATTAATGCCACGTGTATCCTACGTGGCGAACACATGCCACGTAGGCGTCATATAAGCGATTTATACCTACGTGGCAAAATTAATTCTGTTCCGATGAAGATTTTGTTATAAAATTTAAATTTCGAATGATTTTTTAGACAAAAAATTCAAATCCAGTATGAATTTGGAAATTTTAAAAGTTCGTGATGAATGTGATAGTTATCTCATAATTGAATGATTTTTGTGGGAATTTCCCAAAAAAATATAGCCAAGTACATAATAATAAGAAAAATAAAATAAAGATATATCGGCAAGTGGGAAGTGGAAACACACGACAAAGACTGAAACAGAAAACTAAGTTATCCTCTCGAATGTGGTCCCTAAGGTTTGTCAATTGGGCCATCTGGAATTACACCATTATACAATAAATCGCCGCATGGGAAATCATGTTGAAAAAAAACCATATAATTGTATTCGACCCAATATCTTTCCCTTTTCGGCCACTAAATACAATTTAATTATCCCCAAATATTTATTTTCTTTCCAAAATATGCTATAAAGAGTGATTACAAATAGGGGGAAAAATGAAATAGTGAGAAATTTTAAGGGAAACTTTTGGTGATGAAATGATTGGGAAATCTGAAGATTAAAAACCCATTTTTCATCGGATTCCAGTTCTTGGAATAAGCCCATGCAAATTTTGGTTTTATAAATTGCATGATTGTGTCGTGGTGGTCCACGATTGGCTAACATACTGCCTTTCAGCTTCACCAATGACAAAATCTTTTAAAATGAGTTAATTTAAATATAAAAAAAAACAAACCTGAACAAAATTCGAAGGCAGGTAAGCTATTGATTGGTTTAATAATATGATCAACCTGCAGGTTATATGTTTCCATGTTTTTGCTGCAAGTGTGTTATGTACACTTTTATAGGTAATTCCTAGGAATAGTTGTAGAGACAATCCTTTATAGGATTAGCTTTTTGGATTCTTTAATGTATATATAAGGGTATCGTTGGTTGTAGCAAAATTGTGTCATTTTCACTATGTTTGTGAGCGATAAACTATTGCTGGTAGCAATTGCAGTTGATCGTGGTTAAAAATAAATAATTGATAACAGTTGTCATTCCATTTTGATATATTAATGTTTTTTATAATTTTATTTAAGAGTATTTTATTCCTTTTATCTGAATATTGGAAATAGTTATCGAAACGTAAGTTGAAAAGGTAAGTTGAAAGTTGTGATTAGAAATCTCAAATTTGTTTACGGTCGGAAATGGTTGCGATTTGATCAATTAGTTTTTCAATCATTAGCAACCGATAAAAATCGCAAACGATTCGTTTATGTGTGAGGAAGACATATTTAGTGGTCCCACCCTAAATCATATGTGCAATCCTTAAGAATTACTACAACTCTTTGTTTCTTCACATGTAGACACAACTAGACTAACCCTAGTTTTTGAAAAACTAGTCAGAGAGACAAATTACAACCTTTGATCTCGATAAAAATAAAATAAACTCTTCTACTATAACATTCATTATCCGTGCCCCGTTCACGACTTGTACCATATTGGCAAAATTTAATTAAAATATTTATTTATATAAAAATATAGAAAATTTAACTTTTTCAAAATCATATGCAACAAAAGATATATTACATCGTACACTACATAAGTCTTAAAATTCACAACAACAAAATACATTGTTTACAAAATACATCACCGATTCGAAAGTTTAATTACCATAAAAACATATGAAAATTTAACAATCTCTCAATGCAGAGGAGTTACACATGGGGACCATGCAACTCATCTATAGGCACTCCATAGACACAAGGATGGATGTCTATGATCCAAATGCATCGCATACGAGGATCAAATGTGATTACCATATTCGTCACCAACATATTCCTCGGCTGGTCCCTCTGTCCCATCTGTAAATACATAAACTATTGTTTAGAGAATGATTCGGATTAAATCCACAAATTTAGCACTCAGTAAAACAGATAAAATTCAATGTCTAATAAAAGAAACTAAATATCAATCATCGAATATATCACACAACAGAACCAACATTCATAACCAATATCCATATAACCAACCCATCAAACTCATCAATGTGTACATCGCACGCATAGGTCAATCCAAGCGAGCGATGAACACATAGGTCAATCCAAGTGAGTCACACGCGAGGACCATACAACTCATCTATAGGCACTCCATAAACACACATGGATGGATGTCTATAATGAAAATACATCGAATAAGAGGACAAATGTGATTACCATATTCGTCACCAACATATTCCTCGCCTGATACCTCTATCCCATCTGTAAATGCATAAACTCGAGGTGCAATTCTCGAATTATTCGCTAGTGGTGGATGGATAGGCCCATCATCTGGTCGCCCTACAATGATCTCTCTACAGTTTACTGCAAAATGGTCCGACTTACCGCATCGATAACAAGTAAATGGTACCTCACACTTCCTGAAATGGAATCGACGGCGTCGATCATATGGTTTCCTTGATGGCAGTGGCGGTAGTGCTCGGAAAATCGGTGTCTTCCCTTTGTCCCGACTCTGATTGATTTGACCGGTCCAAGCAAGTGACCTGGTGGTCGAAAAATGGCGGACAAGGCTCCTTTCTCGAACCCTGAGTTCTTCTTTCTTCTCCTTCTCACTTTATTCCACCTTCTCCAATTGGCTGATGTAGCGATTCAAGGTAGGATATTCATGTATCTCGATCTTCCTTCGAAGATATGGTCGCAGACCAACAATAAACTTCTGTATCTTTAATGCTTCAGTAGGAACCAAATGAGCACTATAGATCAGCAAGCGACTGAATTCCGCTTCATATTCCCGAACCGTCATATTATCTTGCTGGAGATGTATAAATTCCATACGTCGGTCATCCTGAAGATTCCTGTAATACTTTTGCTCAAACTCTGTTCCAAATTCATCCTTGGAGACTTGATGTCTAGCAGGCATCTCTCGTATAACTCCGTTCCACCAGTGGCGAGTCTGTCCAGAAAGATGGTGGCTCGCGATCTCACTGCGATACTGTAGAGGGCAACGCAAGTATTCCAAATCACGGGAGATCTGCACCAACCATTCCTCAGCAATCTCCGGGATTAGGGACCCTTCGAACCGTGGAGTATCCATGGCTGGAAGTTCTTTAATGATCGTCAGATAGTCATCAGCTATTGTCGGCACTTGGATTCTAGGTGGAGTATCCCTGGTGACCGACTAATGGTGGCGATGATATCTGACCTTGCACGAACTGCCACATCTTATTCTTAAATTCTTGAAATTCACCCCGCAACTGCTCCATGACTTGGGTTGATGAAGGTGCTTTCAGCATTCAATGTCTGAATATCAGTAAAAAAAACAAGCATATCTTGGAAAAAAAGCAATGAAATTTGACCATTATACGGAAACCCAGAAAACGAAACACGAGTTTCGATGAATCGTAAGCAGCCAATCCTTCCAAGAACCATGAATCCCAGAAATATATATATAGAGAGAGAGTCATTAACAAGAATATACCCTCGAGAGAAGAATCCATTTGAAGGAGCCGCCCGAATCTTCAAACCCTGCGACAGAGAAGGGGAAAAAAACTTGAGAAAAAGAGACGAAAACTCTTCAGGGAACGAAACAAAGCAGCGAAAAGAATATCGGACCGAAAGCGATCGTGAAAAAAGAATATGAAGACGAATACCCAACAAGGGAATCTAAGAAATCCTTCCACCAACAAGAGAATCCCACGGATCTCTCTCTTGACAAAGAGTTTCCGGGGATTAGAGCGAGTGACCGGAGAGACTGAGATGGCTTCTGGAGATGAGGACACGCAGTTTATGGTGGGACCAAAAGGCAAATGGCATGCAATGTTTTTTTTTATTATTATTTTCTTTTTGTTTTAACCCAAGTTAATGTCGTTTCCCCTTCAATTTACGGGTTTTCAACTTTTTATTTTACTTCCAGTTTTTTTCCTTTACTTTATTATTATGACGTAGATATAGAAAAATACTTAACTTCCGCGATTTGATCCCAAAAAATATTCTAAAATTCTTAATTCTTTTTGTAAATACTAAAATTCTTAATTTGAAAAGAAAACTCTGCAAAACAAGTTCTAGAGCTTAAAAAATAAACTCCACTATGTAGTTTTTTTTTTTGGTAAATAACTCCTCTATTTAGTTATGTGGAATAGATGATTTTTTATAATAGTCGTCGAATCACATCGAAATCGAATTTTTGTAACTGAATTAACGAATCGAATGCAAAATCTATAACATACACACTTCTTTAACTCGCTAAAATTTCATATTTTTTTATTAAAATGTAAAAAAAAAAGTGGCTTATATATATATATATATATGTTATATTCCATACGAAAAAGGGTATTCTTATGGATCAATCATGACAAATAAACAATAGCCTATCAATATTTTCTTTGAATAATAGTAGGTGTCCAATTGATTGCAATATATGCTAATGCTACGTGGTGTATCCTGATTGGTTGGGGTCATTGGCTAATGTCTACAATCACATAGCTCGCTTTGGAGTGGAGAAAATGACGTGCTTAACAATGCATAAAGACAAATTTTAATAAATAAAATAATATGAAATATTTGTAATTGGTGAAATTATTTTTTTCTTTATGATAAATAAATAAATAAAGCAAGTTGGACAAAGTTTTCGGATTGAAATTGATTTACAAAAAAAAAATCTTCGCATTGTCTACGATGTTATATACAACATTTTGGATTTATTGATATTTGCATAATGGCAAATAAAATAACATAAAGTTAGATAGGAACTATCTGTCGCTATTGTATTAAACTATATGTTATACAATAACTTATTACCTTTAGTCAACGTATATAAATATGTTATTTGAATTATTTTGGAAACTAAAATTTTGCTAAAAATCTTTTCTCTACAGAAGATACTAATGTTGTCATTTCCACTCGTACAGATTTTAACAAAACAATAAAATCTAAATCGATTCTAACACTGTATGTATATTTTTTTCACACATACACACACACACTATATATATATATATGCCAGATGTAATGAATGCATGGTCCGAGTATTTTATGAAAGAAAATATAGCCAAGTACATAATAGTAAGAAAAATAAAATAAAGAAATATTGGCAAGTGGGAAGTGGGAAGTGGAAAGAAACAGAAAACTAAGTTATCCTTTCATATGTGGTTTGTCAATTGGGCCATTTGCAATTACACCATTATATCATATATTTATATTCGACCCAATATCTTTCCCTTTTCGGCCATTTGCAATTACACCAGTATATATACGCGCGTGCGTGTGCAACGAGGCAAGAAATCCATACCAAGAGTTCGGATTTTTCCTACCACTTTGATGTTTTACGATTGGTCTATTTCGTATAAAATTACCAATATATCGCTCAAGTTAATGAAAATTTTCGCGGGTTCAAGTACTATGGGTATCACAGATCTCCCATGATCAAAACCGAGACAATAACCCGCGGGGATGAGGCCAAACTGAGTGTCCCCAATGTTCCGGGTACTCGTGATTGTTGTGTGTATTCACCCAAAAGTTGTATTTCATCCATTTTTAAGAACAGACACGTAAAGAGTGTTACCCGTTTTTGCAGAGGAGGTGTCATCATAACTAAAACTGCATCTCTTTTCAAACTCAAAGTCCACCGAGAGATTGCGAAGGGGCACAGTACCTTCTCCGCTCCATCTTCGGCAGATGTTTAGACATTATGGACTCCTGCAGAGAACGCAAACCTTCAAAATCATATTTTATTGTCCGGAATGTCTTAATATAAATCAGTAGCTCCGAGATAGAGCAGAGTTTCAAGGTTTAGAAACAGCTTTCAGAAATATAATATGGGAATGTCATTCATTACCTGCTCCTGGATTATGCTCCGTGCTTCGACCAGTTGTGCTTCAAGTTCAAGCTCCCTCTCTGTGGCTTCTGAGGTAACCGCTGCCTCTTTCTGTGCATCTAGTAACTGACCCATTCGTTCCTACAATCCAAACAACACGGGACAGAACGTGTCAGTGAAGATCTACGATTGAAAAGCATAAAACCCCGGACTGAGTCTTGAAGTAATTGGACTTAACCTTGATGGAAGCCATCTTAGATCGTAAACTGTCTTCTATTTGACCTCTAGCCATACGGAAAGGTAGATCAAAGACGTCCTATCGACACAAATTTCATTCTCTCATTGTTATGCCAAATAGATTAGAGACATTGAAAATGAACAAATCCTACTCAAAGTAAGGATTTTTGTACCGTCCTCCCACCCAACGGAGACTGAGAAAGTTCCATGGCGCGTCTTCCATTGGCAGCCAAAGATTGGTTGGATGGTACACCAGAATCGTTTAAGAAAGCACGCATGTCGCCCTGTCAAATGATTGTTCCAATTAAGACCCATAAGTTCATTCCTTGGCAAAATATTTCGAATGGAAAGGAAAAATGAAAACAAAGTACCTGCATGGATCGGAGTAATGCCCTCAAATCAGTATTCTCGGCCATCAGTTCTTGATTTTTAGCTTCATACGTATCCACCTGTAAGGAGCACATAGCAAGCATAAGTCCATTCATCGAATACCGAATAAGCTGCTCGTGGTTCTTACAATCTTTTTGTAGAAATCGGAGTCAGCCTTCTTTCCGTTCCAAGTTCCACGCTGTCTCCCTTCTTTCTGTGGATATAACGTGAAGAGAACGCATCAGAAAGAAGCAGCGGGGTCTCGGGTGACTTAGTGGTAGCCTACCCATAATCAAACTAGTACCTGGAGTAGGTTCATAATCTCCATGCCTGATCGTGATTCCTTCTTTTTCTCCATCAACACTTGATTTAGCTTCTCCTATCAGAGAGCCCCATGATTAAAAACATTTTTATATTCGCTTAGAAAGATTCGACCTATGTTTACAGACTTTGAACTTGCAGAGCTGACCTACTATACCTGCAATTTTATGTATTCCTTTTCTTTTTTCTTCATTTCATGTACTTGTTGTGTCCTGACTTGCTGTCAGAGCACAAAATGTTCGAAATGGCATTAAGATTGCCATATTTACCATATACGACGCACTTTCGAAGCAAACGAGAATTCTGACCGGTTAAAAAGATCAAACCTGGTTAGCAATAACCATCCTCTGAAACTCATCTCTTTCTTTCTGCAGCTTTTCAATCTGGGCCTTCAAAGCTGCTGTAGTCTTGGCTTCCTGTCAACGGAATTGCACTAAACATCACAAAGACTTGAACAGAAACTCAGATTTCTCCTCTTC